TGTTATCTCCAAACACCTCTTTATTCACCCATTTTCCTGCTGTCAGAGCCACAAGCCCATATTGCTGCTGCCTGGTTCCGTCAGATCCGAACCAATCCACCTGCTTATTTTAAAAAATTTCTGATGTTGTCAGGAGCCGAGTCTGTAAAGGTGAATATTAAAGACCTGAAGAGAAGATTGATGTGGTTCTGCTTGGTTCTGATGTTCTGGAGTCCAGCTGGTTGAGAACCACATGGACCTTAGAACTGAACCAGCTCCAGCTGAGGTGGTTCAGATACATTAATTGGTTGTTTCAGAAGCCACACCTGGAGGTCAGCTGAAGCTAATGCTAATATCCGCTCCCTCCATCTGCCATTACTGTCAATGTTGAGTTTGTTTCTAAAGGTTTATTTGTTCACATTTACACTGTTGGAACATTTGGTTTCATCCTCATTTTATCACATAAATAAAGGAAGAAAAAGGCCAAAAAAACGAATGGAAACGATCTGCATCAGTTTCTAGCCGTTATGTCATCAGAACCAGAGACGCTGAGCTGGGCCCCCATCAGTTTGTGCACCACTTTGACCATTAGCTCGGATGGAAACCAGTTTGTTCGGATCTCATTTTGTCCTGAACTCATCAGATCAGCCGGCATGTTGGGACAGTTTCCGTTTAGTGACATCATCTTCTCCTCTTCTGCTCTGAGTGTTAGGAGGACAAACATGAGCTCAATTCAGCCTCCCAGGCGGGGTCTTATCTCTGCGGCTTCACCTCACTGTGGGCAGATGGTGGGCGTTTCCTGGAGTCAAAACGGCCCTGAGCTGCAGATCTTTTCTGAAACCAGAGTCACTTAAAGGTCAGAGAGATGCAGCGTCTGAGGCGAGTATCTGAAGGCAGCAGGGTGCATGCCACCTGACCTGGGGACAGTTTCCCTCCATCTCAGCTGCTGCTGCTGCTCTCTGGGAAACACAGATAAGGCTTCAGCTGCAGCCGCTGACATTGGAACGCCTCGCCCTCACAGCTGGCCGACGCTTTAAAGAGAGATTTTAAAGCAGAAAATTGATCAGAAAAGCTCCAGTTTAGTCCTGAAGCGAAGCCACGTTTTAGACCAGAGGAGGCTTCCATTTAGGATTCCAAAAAAGTTATATTCCATTTAGGAGAAGGTTGACTGGTTGCTATGATGGAAGAGATAAAACAGGATATAGACAGTAATCAATCAGACATATTTGGTGCAGAAAACTGTTTGTTTCAAGCTTTGTATTTTCCCACCTTTTTAAACTTTAACTCCCAAATCAGACTGTAGTTTGGGCTGATTATATTTTTATATAACGGCCAATTCATGGTTAATCCATCCATTGTTAATGTTTGGTTTGATTTGTTAATAAAGGTTTGATTCTTGCTCTGATTCAGACTGGTAGAACATTTCTTATCACTGATTCTTTTTTATCGTATGATATAAAGTAATATTTGCTTCAGTTTCACCTCAATAATATTCCTGGACTAACTGATAAACTACAGTAAACTGGTATCTTTCCATAATGATAGAGAGCTGATTCTGGTGCTAAAGCAGAACCAGGAGGAGGCCCTGGTGGGGAGGAGTTAGTCTGGGTGAGGTTCTGCTGAGGCCCGTGTGTTGGTTACAGATCTTCCCTCCTGGTTCTGCTGAATCCGGTACAAAGCCGGTTCTGAAACCCGACTGATCTGAGCAATCCCAGGCTCTGTGGCACGAAAAGGCAGTGGTGCTCTACCTGACTGGACCGGACCCGGCCGATCCAGAACCTCTGAACACTGAGGCTGGTTTGGAATCAGACTGCAGCAGCTACCTGTGTGCTTCCTTATTTTTATTTCCTCAGGTCAACTGCTGGTTTTATGGGCTTTGATCTGTCACGGTGCCGCCGTTAATCCGATCGGGTCTGCAGCACAGTAAAGTTATTGTGTAACAGAGCGAGCAGCAGCTGAAGGTCAAATCGCTCTGAACTCTCCCTGTTTTAATGACTCATTGTTCCAGAAGTGGATTTATTTCCTCTTACTGTTGTTTGCCTAGCTGCTGCCAACTGAAATGTCGCTGCAGTCCCCCTGCTTCTCAAAGCTCTACTCAGACGTGCATCTGACCAGAAACCCCAGTGCTGCTCAGCTGCTGGGAGCGGCTGCATTAAGAGCAACATGTGACCCATTTAAAGTTCTGTTGGGTCCAGCTGGCTGCTGATACCTGAAGCCAGATGTTTTCCTTTCACTGACTTTCTGAACTAGTTGACTTCATCTGGAGGGAAATAAAAACCTTTTCCTTCGGGTCAGGAGGGAAAGGTTCTGATCGTTATATTGAGGCCCAGGGTTCTGTTTTGGATCCTTAGGTTGAATCCAGAACCTTCCTCCCCTTCAGATTTTCTCAGCCTTATTTCCTCCTTCAGTTCTGCTAGAACTCCTCTGCAGCAGCTAAGTTCTGATGGTGTCGGTGCTGGTCGTTTAAAGTGATTCAGTGTTCTCTCAGCCAAACAGGTTGAATCTGGATTTAAACCATCTCAAAGTTTCAGTGTTTTACAGTTTTCTAGGCTTTTATCCCAGATTAGTGAAGCTGAAGAACTAGAAGCTGCTTCTCCATGTATGCAGGGTCACCTGGTGACATTACGTACAGCTGGGATGGTCTGCATCGTTATGGTAACTGATGTTGTTGCTATAGTCGTAGGGAAGTCATATTTAAATTTGAAATCATTCTGGCTTAAATATGTACATAATGCACTCTTTATCAGGCCATATTGTCCCAAAATTTAGAAAATTTGTATTTAAAACAAAAATCCTGTCTTAAGATCTATTTTTTATTTGTTTATTTTTTTTTTATGCAGGCCAGTTAGTTATACGTCAGCCTGTACAACTAAATTTGTATATCAGCGGTCATCTATCAATCAAATTGTTTCGGTCATAGCATCTTGATTCATATGTTGCAGCTAATATATGCTAAGGTTGAAATAAGAAATCAGAATAATTTACTCTACCACTGAGTGACGTCCCAGTGTTTACGGGGATGGACGTCTGTATCTTCTGCAGGCGTAAAGCTAACAGGAAGGGCAGGGGCTGAAACATGTACGGCTGTAAACCTTCTACACCAAACCAAGCTTCTGCCACCCTGGCGTCCTCTTCCACTAAAACTTCGTTCCCACTTTCCTCCTCTAAATAAAAAATCAATGTATGATGGAGGAGACTCATCCACGACCACCGAAACAAAACACTCCTCCTCTTGCATGTTTCCGCTGTCCATAGCGTTCCTTGACAGTGTCGTTGCTAAGTGCTACTTGGTCCCAGTGTAATTTCCCCTTTGGAAACCTACTAGCACTAAGTTGCTAACAGGTTAGCAAAATGCTTACGGCCACAACCAAACATGCTTGCGAACATTCCGCTACAGCAATCCCGCCCCCTTCATAATTGACCAATCACATTCACTTTATTCACTCGTGTAAAGTCGGGCACCAGTCGGGAGAATTCAGAAATGCAACCGCTGGAACAGCCGCTTCCCTACGACTTTAATTAGTATCAGAGGTGGGCGGCATGTAGAACAGGAGGGGCCTTAAGAAGGACCCCTGAGGGACCTCACATTTAATGTTTACGGTCTCTGATTTAAAGTTGCCTCCTGAGGCCGAGTCCTTCATGTGGATCGGAACCAGTCCAGCTCTGGACCAGTGAGGCTGACTCAGTTTTTCAGGTGCTCTAATAAAAAGATCAACAGTGTTGAATGCTGCACAGAGGTCCAATGGTACCAGCACTGGGGTCCAGTAGCACATCTGCAGTGTTCTGGGCTCAGTGGATCATCAGTAGGCTTCCTGCCTGCAGAGTTTCTAAATCCAATGTGGATGATCGCCCCTCCTCAGCTGCCAGGAAACAGTCCTGAAGATTGATCTGAGCCTGGTTCTGCAGCAGCGTGCTGACTCAGTGTGTTTACCTCTGGCCGCTTGCAGCTCAGTTCACCATGTAGATGTGAAGAACTTTGAGCAGCAGCTGATCTGCAGAGCAGGAGGATTTGCTTCCCTGTTAATTTAGTTTTGGCCTCAGGTCAAAGTAAATCAGCCATAATCGCTTTAAAACAAATAACCCGGGTCGACTTTCTCCTCGGGTGCTTCATTGAGAATGTCAAACAGCAGATTAAAGGAGAACCAAGACAGCTGTTGGTTCCAGGGGGCAGGGATTATCTGGTAAACCAGGAAATTGAGGTTTAGCACATGATCAGTGAGCAGCTGATGGACCATGCCTGCAGCCTATGTTGCAACAATTCTTCCTCTTCCTCTGCTGCAACACCTACAAACCTACAGGACCGTTTACTTGGATCTGCTGCATTCACTGGCCCAGTTCTATGGGTTCATCTGTCATCCTGGTTTGACCCAGAGCCTGCTGAGCCCGGCAGGCGGGTCCAGCTAACCAGGGTTGTTTGCCTGTTTGTTTTCCATCTGTTGCTCTGTGCAGCAGAGGTCCAGTAGAACCCAGCAGCTGGTTCTGTTCCTGCAGTTTATGTCAATGTGTTTAATTATCACCCTTTGAAGAAGCTGACCTCAGAACAGCAGGTATCCATCAGACCTGAGTCAGACTGCCACCTGCAGGTTAGAGCAGGTGCTGCATGGAGCCGGGCCATCATTAAGAACCTGAATAGGTTTGGCCATTGAAGAACCCAATAAAATATTACAAAGTTTGTTTTTTTTCTACCATAAATCATTAATTTAATTTTGTTTTCTGTGTTTGATTCTGGTGGCATGGCAGGCAAATGGGCTCTGGGTTTAAGGGTTGTGCTCTGCACAGCCTGTTTAAACTAGCACGGGTTTGACTGCTGTTAACTAAGGTCTAGAAACAAAGTAGAGATTCTATCATTTAATCTCTAAACAACAGATAAAAAATATGTTCTTTCATCAGCTTCACCACATTCACAAGTTACTGGAGGACAAGCTGCTGTTCATTAAGAATGGTAGTTTTTCAGAAACATGGAAGAACAGATCCAAACCCGTTCTGCAGTCTAATAGTGACTTTCTCTCCCTTTCTTGCAGAAGGAGTTTGCATCCCCTCCACCACTGCTGTACAGGAAGCTGAGCAATCCTGACCTGTCGCCCGCAGCAACCACGGCTACAAAATCCAAACTGCACCGACAGCTGAGTCAGGATGAGAGCCGGACCCGACGCAGCAGCCTGGCCATGACAGGTAACTCACTCCAGCTGACATTTGGCTCTGAATTGATCAAAACCAGGTTCTGTAAATCCTTTTCTTTTTATGCTGCTGTTCTAGTTTCGCTGGTTTGTTGGTTCTCCCCTAATGGAGGCCATCCAGCTTAGATCAGAACTTTCCAGCTGCTCCAGGAGAGCTGGTTTAAGCTAACGATCAGAACTTTCCAGCTGCTCC